TAAAATCCATCTATGAAAAACCCACAGTGAATATCATCCTCAATGGGGAAAAACTGAGAGCCTTTCCCTTAAGATCAGGAACAGGACAAGGATGCCCACTCTCACCACTATTGTTCAGCATAGTATTAGAAGTCCTAGCAACAGCAATCAGACAACAAAAAGAAATAAAAGGTATTCAAGTTGGCAAAGAAGAAGTCACACTCTCTCTCTTCACAGATGTCTTGATACTTTATGTGGAAAATCCAAGACTCCACCCCCAAATTACTAGAACTCATACAGCAATTCAGTAATGCGGCAGTATACAAAATCAATACACAGAAATCGGTTGCTTTCTTATACACTAACAATGTAACTGTAGAAAGAGAAATTAGAGAAATGATTGCATTTACAATAGCACCAAAAACCATAAGATACCTCGGAATAAACTTAACCAAAGAGGTAAAAGATCTGTACTCTAGCAACTACAGAACACTCATGAAAGAAATTGAAGAAGACACAAAAAATGGAAAAACACTCCACGCTCATGGATCAGAAGAATAAACATTGTGAAAATGTCTATGCTACCCAGAGCAATCTATACCTTCAACGCCATCCTGATCAAAATTCCAATGACATTTTTGAAAGTGCTGGAACAAACAATCACAAAATTTATATGGAATCAGAAAAGAACCCGAATTGCCAAGGAAATGTTGAAAAAGAAAAACAAAGCTGGGGGCATCACGTTGCCCAATTTCAAGCTATATTACAAAGCAGTGATCACCAAGACAGCATGGCACTGGCACAAAAACAGACCTATAGACCAATGGAACAGAATAGAGAGCCCAGATATGGATCCTCAACTCTGTGGTCAAATAATCTTTGACAAAGCAGGAAAAAATATGCAATGGAAAAAAGACAGTCTCTACCACACATTTTTAAAAAGATTTTATTTATTTGAGAGAACGATAGAGATAGCAACAGAGAGCATGAGTGGGGAGGAGAGGGAGAAGCAGGCTCCCTGCTGCAGGGAGCCTAACATGGGGCTCGATCCCAGGACTCTGGGATCATGACCTGAGCCGAAGGCAGACACTAACCAACTGAGCCACCCAGGCACCTCTGTACCAAACATTTAAAGAAGACTTAATACCCAGTCTTCTCAAACTATTCCAAAAAATAGAAGACAAAAGGAAAACTGCCAAATTCATTCTATGAGTCCAGCATGACCCTGATACCAAAACCAGATCCAGACACCACTAAAAAATAAAACTTTGGCCAGTATCCCTGATGAACATAGATGCAAAAATACTCAACAAAATACCAGCAAACTGAATACAAAAATACATTTTTTTAATTTTTTAAAGATATTTATTTTTGGGAGAGAGAGTGAGTACAAGCAGGGGGTAGGGGAGGGGCAGAGGGAGAAGCAGACTCCCCACTGAGCAGGGAGCCCGATGTGGGACTCGATCCCAAGACCCTGGGATCATGACCTGAGCTGAAGGCAGATGCTTAACTGACTGAGCCACACAGGCACCCCAACAATACATTAAAAAAAAAAAAAATTCACCACCATCAAGTGGGATTTATTTCTGGGCTGCAAGGGTGGTTCAAAATTCACAAATCAATCAATGTGATACATCGCATCCATAAGAGGATAAGAACCATGTAATCATTTCAAGAGATGCAGAAAAAGCAAAAGAAAACATCCATTCATGATATAAAAAAAAAACAAAAACAAACCCTCAACAAAGTAGGTTTGGAGGGAACATACCTGAGCATAATAAAGACCATATATGGAAAACCCACAGCTAACATCATCCTTAATGAGGAAAAACAAAGCTTTCCCTGTAAGGTCAGGAACAAAACAGGGATGTCCACTCTCACATAGTATTGGAAGTCCTAGCCACAGCAATAGAAAGCAAAAAGAAATAAAAGTCATCTAAATCAGTAAGGCAGAAGTAAAACTTTATTTTCAGATGACATGATACTATAAATAGAAAAGCTGAAAGATTCCACTAAAAAACTGTTAGAACTGATAAACAAATTCAGTAAAGTCACAGGATACAAAATCATTGTATGGTAATATGTTGCATTTCTATACACTTATAATGAAGCAGCAGAAAGAGAAATGATGAAAACAGTCCCATTTAAAATTGCACCAAAAATAATAGGATACCTAGAAATAACCCTAACCAAAGAGATGAAAGACATGTACTCTGAAACTATATAACACTGATGAAAGAAATTGAAGATGACACAAAGAAATGGAAAAACATTCCATGCTCATGGATTAGAAGAAAAAATATTGTCAAAATGTCTATACTACCCAAAGCAATCTACACACTTCATGCACTTCTTATCAAAATACCAACAGCATTTTTTCACAGAACTAGAACAAACAATTCTAGAATTTGTATGGAACCACAAAAGATTCCGAATATCCAAAGTAATCTTGAAAAGCAAAGCTAGAGGCATCATGATTCTAGTCTTAAAGTTATATTACAAAGCTGTAGTAATCAAAACAGTATGGTACTAGCACAAAAATAGGCACATAGATCAATAGAACAGAAAAGAAAACCCAGAAATATACCCAAAACTATATGGTCAATTGATCTTTGACAAAGTAGGAAAGAATATGCAATGAGAAAAAGTGTCTTCAACAAGTGGCGTTGGGAAAACTGGACAGCCACATGCAAAAGAATGAAAGTGGACCACTTTCTTACACCATACACAAAAATGAAGTCAAAATGGGTTAAGGACATAAATGTGAGACCTGAAACCATAAAAATCCTAAAAGAGGGCACAGGCAGTCATTTCTTCAACGTCAGTTGTAGCAACATCTTTCTAGATATATCTGCTGAGGCAAGGGAAACAAAAGCAAAAATAAAAAGCTTCTGCATGCAAAGGAAACAGTCAACAAAACTAAAAGGCAACTGACAGAATGGGAGATGATATTTGCAAATGACATAACTGATAAAGGGTTAGTATTCAAAATATATAAAGAACTTATACAACTCAATACCCCAAAAATAAACAATCCAATTTAAAAACTGACAGAAGACATGAACAGACATTTATCCAAAGAAGACACACAGATGGCCAACAGACACATGAAAAGATGTTCGACATCACTCATCATCAGGGAAATGCAAATCAAAACCACAATGAGATATCACCTCACACCAGTCAGAATGCCTAAAATCAAAAACACAAGAAACGGCAAGTGTTGGCAAGGATGTGGAGAAAGAAGAACCCTCAAGCACTATTGGTGGAAATGCAAACTGGTGCAGCCACTGTGGAAAACAGTGTGGAAGTTCCTCAAAAAAAGTAAAGATAGAACTATCCTATGATCCAGTATTTGACCTACTGGGTATTCACCCAAAGCATAAAAAACTCCGCTCATTTTAAGGAATACCTGCACTGTATGTTTATTGCAGCATTGTTTGCAATAGCCAAATTATGGAAGCAACCCAAGTGTCCATCTGTAGATGAATGGATAAAGATACACACACACACAGACATACACACACACTAGAATATTATTCAGCCATAAAAATGAAATTTTGCCATTTGCAACAACGTGGATAGATCTAGAGAGTATAATGCTAAGTGATATAAGTCAGTTAAAGACAAGTACCATATGATCTCACTCATATATGGAATTTAAGAAACAAAACAAATGAACAAAGGGGAAAGAAAGAGACAAACCAGAAAACAGACTCTTAACTATAGAGAACAAGCAGATGGTTACCAGAGAGGAGGTAGGTAGGGAAGTGGGTAAAATAGATGCAGGGGATTAAGAGTACATTTATCTTGATGAGCATTGAGTAGTAGATGGAATAACTGAATCACCATATTATATACCTGAAATGTATATAACACTGTATGTTAACTACACTGAAATTAAAATTTAAAAAAATTTTTTAAGGAATCAACAAACATACCTATTGGAACTGATAAGTGAGTTAAACAGTGTCTCAGGACACAAGGTCAATATACAGAAAAATCAATTTTATGTCTATATGTTAGCAATGAATAATTGGAAACTTAAAAAGGAAATTTTAAAAAGCATCATTTACAACACCATAAAAACAAAATAGGAATAAATTTAAGGAAAATGTTGCAAGTTCTCACAAGGAAGATATGGTTGGTCACTGAAAGCTACAAAAGTTTACTGAGAGAAGGCACAAATAAATGGACCACTATGTCACATTTATGAATTAGAAAACCTAATATCATAGATATTAGGTGTCATGAAATTGACCTATAAATTCAATTAAAGTGCAGTTAAAATCCCCTTCTTCCTGTGAAGTTGACAGAAATGAAGTTCATGTAAGCAGCCATTTCTTCAAGATTGACATTATACTCAGGACAAAAACAACTGAGTTCTGGGCTTACTTTGGATTCTCACTATCTTCTAGATTTTGGCCCTACAGTTCCTCACCATATTGTAAAATCTTAGTTGATTTTAAGATGTTTTCTTAGTTTTAATTATTATCCAGTTTTTAATTTGTCTTTGGTAAGATTCTGTTTCCTAGCTCCATTACTAGAAGTAGTCTCCATTTATTTTCTTTAATCAGATTAAAATTATTTTTTGAGCACTTATTATGTGACAAACATTTCTGAGCACTGTGTGTATAGTGGCAAGCAAGACAAAGTCTCTGCCCTTAAAAAGCTCCATTCTAATTGAGGATGTATTCGTTTGTCTGTTCAAATTGATTTGTATACAATGGTTGTGAAATGCATGAACTTTAAGCAGATGTCATTTCCTGCCTTCTGAGGACTTCCATGGTAACCCAAAATCTCACATAATAGACTTTTAAACTCCAGCGTCATGCTGAATTGGAAGACCATAATAAAAGCTGCACAAAGTTTGGGGTAGGGAAAACTAAGTGGGGGAAAGAACCTGAGATGGTACATGAGGGACTAACATTTTAAAGATGATAAAATTTCACCACATGACCAGCAAAGATTGGAGAAGTGACATTTGAGGAATCTGTGTTTTTGTTGTTTCTATCCTACAGATTCTCAGAGTATTAGCCTCCAAAAGAGAGAACTTGGGAGTCAAGAATCTTCAAATTTATCCATAAAGCCTCCTTTCCGAGTTATGGAAAGTCCTTGGACTCTAGCAGCCCTCTACCCAGCTTTAACCAAGAGCACAAAGAAACATCCGTGCTCTCGCCATCTTTTAGTAGTCCCCAAGAAGAAAGCCAGTGAACCAGAGCAAGTCAAGGAAGCCATCAAACCACTGATGCCTCATGAGGATGCTGTTAGACAACTGGCATCCACCAAGAAGTCATTTGAACCCATGTGGGATGCTGCCAGAGAGGATACCTTCCAAACTGCATTGCCTTCCCTGAAGATGAATAAACCAACAGTTTCTTCCATAGAGATCTCTCAGTCTGAAACAGAACCTGAAAATACCCCCAATAGTAAATCCTCCCAAGAATCCTCTCTTATCATGTTTTCTACCACATCCAGCGTATTCTCTTCTGAGCTGCTTTCAAAGAAGAATTAGCCGCATCTTGTCTTCCTCTTCCTTTTCATTTCTGTGCCTGAGAGTGGTGATAGTAGGGACTTGTCAAGAAAGGAAACAGAAGGGCCGTTGAGGCTCTCATTAGGACCACTCTCATCTAGCACTTTCCATAAAGAATGCATCTCAAGGGGGATGGGCAAGGGAGTTGTGGTTTGGGAGCTGGAGCTGGTTGTTCTCTAATGTTACAGGGTTTCTCATCCTAACCCTTCATAGTACTCCCTGCTAAAGGAATGGCTTTGTGCACATGAGCATGGGAATAAAGGTGACCTCTCAGGAACCCAGAAGGTAAAGGATGTATTATTTGGATCCCTATGTGATCAGTCAGGCTGACAGAGACTAGGGGATGAGTGCAAAAGTGATGTCATCCTAAGTCAGAGAGTAAGAAGTGGCATAGGCATAGGCATGGGCATGATTTGGAGGAAAGATCATCTTACATGCACATTCTGTGATCTAGTGTGCAGTGAGATGATCCAAAATATATAAGGAACTCCTACAATTTAACAGCAAATACATACATACATATGTACAAACATACATACCTGAGTAAAAAGTGGGAACAGGACCTGAATAGACATTTCTCAAAAGAAGACATGCAAATGGCCAACAGATACATGAAAACACACTAATTATCAGGGAAATTCATATCAAAACCACAAAGAGAAATCACCCTACACCTGTTAAAATGTCTATTATCAAAAAGACAAAAGATAACATATGTTAGTGAAGATGGAAAGAAAAGTAAACTCTTGTCCACTGTTGATGGGAACGTAAATTGTTACAGCCATTATGGAAAACTGTAGAGAGGTGCCTCAAAAAAAATAATAGCTAGAACCATATGATCCATATGATCCAGCAATCCCACTATTGGGTATACATCCAAAGAAAATGGAATCAGTACCATGAAAAGGTATCTGTACTCCCATTTTTATTGCAGCACTAGTCACAATAGCCAAGATATGGAAACAACCTAAATGTCTGTTGATGGATAAATGGATAAAGTGTGTGTGTGTGTGTGTGTGTCTCTGTGTGTGTCTTTGTATACATACACATACACACACACACACATAATGGAATTTTTTTTCTTTCAGCTTTCTTTTGGTTTCGATATGCATGAAATATCTTTTTCAATCCCTTCACTTTCAGTCTGTGTATCCTTAAAGTTGAAGTGAGTCGTAGGCAGCATATAGTTGGGTCTTGTTTTTTATCCACTCAGCCACTCTCTTTTGATTGGAGAACTTAGTCCATTTATATTTAAAGTAATTATTTATAGGTATGGGCTAAGTGCCATTTTGTTAATTGTTTTCTGGCAGTTTTGTAATTCTTCTGTTTCTTTTTCTCTTGCTCTCTCCCTTTGTGATTTGAAGATTTTCTGTAGTGGCATACTTGGACTCTTCTCTTTATTTTTGTGTATATTCTATAGGACTTTGCTTTGTGTTTACGATAAAGCTTATATAAAACATAATAGTCTACTTTAAGTTGATAACAACTTTAGTGTGAACACATTTTAAAGCTCTACATTTTTACTCTCCCACCACCACATTTTGTGTTTTCAGTGTCACAGTTTACATCTTTTTATCTTGTGTATCCATTAAAAATTATTGTAGTTATACTTATTTTATTGCTTTTGTCTTTTAGCCTTTATACTAGATCTATTAGTGATTAACACACTACCATTACATTAGATTATTCTGAATTTAACTGTATATTTACCTTTACCAATGAGAATGGTATTTTCTTATATTTTCCTGTTATTAATTACCACCCTTTCATATCAGCTTAAAGAAGTCCCATTAACATTTATTGTAAGGCCAGGCTAGTGATGCTAAACTCTTTCAGGTGTTGTTCGTCTGGAAAACCCTTTAACTCAATTCTAAAGGCTAACTTTGCTGGATAGAATATTCTTGGTAATACTTATCTTTTCTTTTAGTACTTTGAATACATTGTGCCACTTTCTTTCTGCTGAAAACTCTGCTCATAGTCTAATGGGGGTTCCCTTGTATGTAACAAGTTGTTTTCCTCTTGCTGCTTTTAAGATTTTTTTAAAGGTTTTATTTTTTTGACAGAGCATGCAAGCATACAAGCAGGGGGAGCAGCAGGCAGAGGGAGAGGGAGAAGCAGGCTTCCCATTGAGCAGGGAGCCTGATGCGGGGCTCGATCCCAGGACCCTGGGATGATGACCTGAGCTGAAGGCAGACGCTTAACCAACTGAGCCACCCAGGTGCCCCTTCTCCTTGTCTTTAACTTTTGATGTGTCTTGGTGTGGGTCTCTTTAGATTCATCTTCTTTGGAACTCTCTAGGTTTCCTGGATCTGGATGTCTGCTTCATTTCAACCAGTATTTCTCCAAATAAGTTTTCTACCCCTCTCCCTCTCTTTTCTCTTTCTGGAACCCCTATAAAGTGCATATTGGGCCACTTGATGTGGCCCAATAAGTTCCTTAAGTAATCTTCACTATTTTTTGATTCTTTTTATTCTTTAGATTGGATGAATTCCACTGCCCTGTCTTCAAGTTTGCTTGTCCTATTTTAGCTTTATCTAGTCTGCTGTTGAACCCTTCTATTCAAATTTTCCAGCTCATTTATTATATTATTCAGGTCTATAATTTTTATTTGGTACTTTCTTATACTTCCTGTCTCTTTGTTGAAATTCTTACTTTGTTCACTCATTGTTTTCCTGACCTTGGTGAGTATCTTTATTACCATTATCTTTAACTCTTTATTAGGTAAATCACTTATCTCCTTTTCATTAAGGTCTTTTTCTGAGATTTTATCTTGTTCTTGCATTTGGAATATATTTCTCTATTTCTTCATTTTCCTTGATGCTCTGTGTTGGTTTCCATGCCTTAGGTAAAACAACCACCTCTCTGAGTCTTGAAAGAGTGGTCTGATGTAGGAGCTGAACCTTATTATTCAACCCTGCCCTAGCTCTTGTTATCTCTCAAACCTTTGTGATTGTTTAAGCAGGATTGTTTGTTCTTAGTGGCTCCAGTAGGTGAGGGTGTGCCAAGACCAATCAGTGTCCAAAAGAGAGAGGGATCTCAGCACCTAGGTGCAGGCTAATAAGAAGTCAGATCCTCAACAGCTTTTAAAGTATGCAAATATACCTCTTTCAAGGTAAGACTGGGAAATGGGTGTTTCTGTCTGCTCCCTTTGCACCGAGCCCTGAGGGTATAACCTGTTATAAACTATTTATTTGTTCGCTACCATTTTGTTGAACCTGTGAACACTAACCTGTTAGTTACCAGAGCCAGGCTATCAAGGGATGTGTCTTCCAGGTGGCAGCCACAAAATCCAGGTTGCCAGATGTGTGTACAAACTCCTTTCTTGGAGACAACAGCAACCTGGGTTAGGGCAGAGAGAGAGCATGAAGATAGTTCCCACTGGCCTTCCCTGGCCTCTAAAGAGGATTGAAGTTGGCCTCTAGATGTAGGTTAAATTAAAAGCCTGCCTCTCAGGCTGTAGCTTTGTAGATAAGCAAATAGGCCTCTTTCCCAGAAAGACTGGATGTTTCTGTTGCTGACTCTGTGCTATGCTTTAGGGGAATAGCCAGTTACGAATTGTTTCTCTGATATAGTCCTGTGAGACCCATTAAGTTAGGCCCCATTTGCTACCAGAGCCAGGCGATAAAGAGGCATGCCCTGGACAGCAGCTACAAAAATCAGGGCAGCAAACATGTGCTCAGAATCCCTTCTAGGAAATACTGTTGACCTGGAGCAAGGCAGAGGGAGAACATAAAGTTGGCACCCACCAGCCATTGTGCTCTCTGGAAAGTATTACAGTTGGCCCCTAGATGTATGTTAAGTTTGAAGCCTGCTCCTCTAGCTGCACCTATTAAGATAAACAAGTAAGCCTGTTTCATGGAAAGACTGGGCGTGTTGTACTCTTCTCCCTCTGCACTGGGTCCTGGGTGTTCACCATGGTGAATCCACATGAGTCCTTAAAGAATGGTCTCTGAGTTTGCTATAGCCTTGTTGATTTGGTAGATACAAGCCCCATTGGCTTTCAAAGCTAGATGTTTTGGAGGCTCATCTTTCAGACAGAAGTCTTAAAAGTTGGGGCACCAAATGCAGGGTCCAAACTCTGCTACTCAGAGAGACGCCAGAACGGAGTTTCCTTCTGGTTGTGCATTGCCATGCTGGGGTGAGGTTTATGGCAAGATTGTGTCTCAGACTCTCCTCCTTGTTTCAATGTGGGTTTTTCTTGTTTACCCAGTGCGTAGAAGTAGCTTGGCTAGTTTCTGGCATGGAATATTACTCAGCCATAAAAAAGAAGAAAATCCTGCCATTTGCAACACCATGGATGAAATTGGTGGACATTATGCTAAGTTAAATAAGGCAGACGTAGAAAGACAAAATTCCCTAATCTCACTTACATGTGGGATCTAAAATAGTCAAACTCCTGGAAGCAGAGAATAGAATGGTGGTTGCTAGGGTGAGAAAGAAATGGGGAGATGTTGAGCAAAGGGTACAGAGTTTCAGTTATACAAGATGAATAATTTCTGGAGATCTAATATATAGCAATATAACTATAGTTACCAATACTGTATTTTATCATTGAAATATGCTAAGAGGATAAATCTTATGTGTTCTTACCACAAAAAGAAACAAAAAAAAGAAAATGGTAATTATATGAGGTTAGTTTGATTGTGGTGATTATTTCACAATATATAGGTATATCAAAACATCAAGTGGTATAGCTTAAAAATATACAGCTTTTATTTGTCAATTATGCCCCAGTGAAGCTGGAAGTAAACCCTAGAAACTCTGTACCCATTAAACAATAACTCTTCATTTCTCCCCCCAGTCCCTGGCAACCACCAATCTATTTTTTGTTTCTGTAATTTGATTATTCTAAGTACCTGATATGAGTGGAATCATACAGTATTTGTCCTATTGTGACTGACTTATTTTGCTTAGCATAATGACTTCAAGGTTCATCCATTCTAGGCTCATCCATGTGGTAACATGTATCAGAATTTCCTTCC